AGGCAAGAGGAGTCTATAAATCAAACAAACAAAAGAAATAAACTCTCTCTAAGAGTAAAAAACGATTAAACTAAGGCTGTTGCACTTGGTTGGTTTCCCCAGTCGTTTGAGATGTCTACTTTAGCAGATGAGGTGCCAAAAGGGTTAAAGTGGTATAAAATTTGGGGGTGGGGTGGTTGACTCCCAAATTTAGGTCCATCAAGTTTCCAGAAAGAAGTCGGCAAAAAATTAAAAAAAAGGGATACCTTTCTCAGTTTTCCAACGTAAGGCAGTGAGAGGACTTAGCCTTCCCTGCTACCAAAACTGACTTGAGTTTGGGGGCACAAACTGAACTGAGTACTGTCACTCTAGATCTGTGGTTCCCAACCTTGGACTAAAACTCCCAGAAGCCTTCACCATTCGCTGTATTGGCCAGGATTTCTGGGAGTTGTAGTCGAAGAAGATCCAGAACCATCACTCTAGACCAAATCAAGATCTCTTCTGAAGGGACTTGGCCTCGTTTTAACCACTGCTGCTTCCAGGTCTGTGTGACTCAGTCACGTGGAAGCCTTACCGGCCTGGGCTAAGGGTCCAGAGCTGACAGGAGCCAAAACAGTCCCGGGATTGGCGCAGGCGGAGACCGCCCTGGGGTCATGAGCTGCGCTGCTATTTACGCCCCTGTTTCTCTCTCTTGGTTGCCTCAAGGAAAGCACGCTTGGCGTCCATGCCACAACCGGATCCAGGCCGGCTGCTGGGATGGGTATCATGCCAACGAAGGATTTCGGTCCTGTCTGACCAGCAGCGACCGCTGCCTGCGGAGCGGCAAACCAGAGAGGAGCCTGGGGCCAAGGAACGAGCACGCTGGCCGAAGGAACGGCGGCGGGAAGCGCAGGGTCGGAGAGCCGGCCGTAGTGTGGTCTGAGGGGAGGAACAGCTGCACCAGGAAACTGGCCCTGCTAAGAAAGAGACTGTTATGAGAAGGATGTTCAAAATCCATCTGGCCACCGAAACAAGGCCAACGGTCAAACACAAGTCACACCACCGAGGCCTCTCATAAACCTCTACGAACGAGGCCTTGTCTGGAAGCCCCGAGACCCATAAAAGAGGTCTTGGGCTCCTCCGGATTCACTGCAGGACGTACCTGTGAGATTCCTGCCTGCATAGCCAACGACCCTGCGGTTCCGGCACCGACACTCAGAGCTTCACCCGAAGAAGGAAATGCATTTGGAGGCAGGAACTGGGTTGGGGCCAAAATTTGAGCCTTTGGGCCGGTGAGAGGAGATCCTGCCACATTCTGTGCCTGAGGTAACCGGGAGAAAGATGGATGCCTCTACAGAAAACAAACAAGCCCCATCCTTGGCATCCATATTAAGCGCCGGGACGGCAGCAGGGGGTGCCAGAGTCAACACTATTAACAAGCAAGATTCCTAACAGAGAAACAACAAGCAGGATGGCCTGGAATGTTATCCCATTTCCTGGGACAAAGTGATGATTCCTGTATATCTTGGAACCGGGGAGCTGGAAGGGACCCGACAGATTGTCCAGTCCAGGTACAGTGGGGGATCGAACCCCCAACCAAAGGCTCCACAGCCAG